ATAAACCATAAAAAGAAGGCGAGGAACTTTCCTACCTCATGGAGATTAAAAACCACACTACTGGAAGACCATTGGACTAATGAGGAGATCAAAGAAGAAATTAAAAAATTTTTTGAATTGAACGACAAGGAGGACACTAATATCCTAAATGTATGGGATGCAGCAAAAGCAGTAATAAGAGGAAAATATATAGCAATAGAAGCTCACATCAAGAAACAAGAAAGAACGCAAAGAAACAACCTCATCTCGAAGCTCAAAGATCTAGAAAAAGAACAACAAAAAACCCCAAAACCAGTAGAAGAAAAGAAATAATAAAAACCAAAGCAGAAATAAATGAAATTGAAACTAAAAAACAATCCAAAAGATCAATGAAACAAGAAGCTGGTTTTTGAAAAAATCAATAAATAGACAAACCCCTAGCCAGGCTCACAAAGGAAAAAAGGGAGAAAGCACAAATAAACAGGATCATCAATGAAAGAGGAGAAATCACAACGGACACAGCAGAAATCAAAAGAATAATCAGTAACTACTATGAACAGTTATATGGAAACAAGTTTAACAATCTAGAGGAGATGGACAAATTCCTACAACTCTACAATCACCCAAAGCTAGATAAAGAAGAAATAGAACACCTAAACAGACCAATTACAATTAGCGAAATTGAAATGGTAATCAAAAACCTCCCCAAAAACAAAAGCCCAGGACCTGATGGATTTACAAATGAATTCTACCAAACATTCAGAGACGAATTAGTGCCTATCCTTCACAAAACTCTTCCAAAAAATTGAGAAGGAAGGGACAATACCAAACACGTTTTATGAAGCCAACATTACACTAATACCAAAACCGAACAAGGACAACACAAAAAAGGAAAACTACAGGCCAATCTCCCTAATGAACACTGATGCAAAAATCCTCAATAAAATTTTAGCTATCAGAATCCAACAATGTATCCATAAGATAATTCACCACGACCAAGTTGGATTCATTCCAGGGGCACAAGGATGGTTTAACATCCGAAAATCAATCAACGTTATCCAACACATCAACAAAAAGAAATATAAAAACCATATGATAATATCAATCGATGCTGAGAAAGCTTTCGACAAAGTGCAACACCCATTCATGATAAAAGCCCTTGAAATTCTGGGGATACAAGGAACATACCTCAACATCATAAAGGCCATCTATGACAAGCCAACAGCCAGTATCATTCTCAATGGTGAAAAGCTGAAAGCAATTACATTAAGATCTGGAACAAGACAAGGATGTCCACTCTCACCATTGCTTTTCAATATAATACTGGAAGTCCTAGCCAGGGCAATAAGACAAGAGAAAGACATCCAAGGAATCCAAATAGGAAAAGAAGAAGTCAAACTATCACTATTTGCAGATGATATGATATTATACATAGAGAACCCCAAAAACTCCACAGAAAAGCTAATTCAACTCATCAATCAGTTCAGTAAAGTGGCAGGATACAAAATCAACACGCAAAAGTCAGTAGCCTTCCTATACACAAACAATAAATCTGAAGAAGAAGAAATCAAAAAGACCATCCCTTTTGTTATTGAAACAAAAAAAATCAAATATTTGGGAATAAATCTAACAAAAGAGGTAAAGGACCTATACAAAGAAAACTATAAAACACTGTTAAAAGAAATAGAAGAAGACACAAAGAAGACACAAAGACACAAAGCAGGAGAGACATCCCCTGCTCATGGATTGGAAGAATAAACATTATTAAAATGGCCATCCTACCAAAAGCAATATACAGATTCAATGCTATTCCAATCAAAATTTCAATGTCATTCTTCAAAGAAATAGAACAATTATTGATGAAATTCATATGGAATCACCAAAAACCCGAATAGCCAAAGCTCTCCTGAAAAAAAAAAGAAGGGAATGGAGGCATCAGACTCCCAGACTTCAAACTATACTACAAAGCCATAATCATCAAAACTGCATGGTATTGGAACAAGAACAGACATACAGACCAATGGAATCGAATAGAAAATCCAGAAATAAACCCACAGATTTATGGTCAACTAATCTTTGACAAAGGAGCAAAGAATATGCATTGGAGCAAGAAAAGTTTGTTCAATAAAATGGTGCTGGGAAAACTGGGTCGCTACATGCAAAAGAATGAAGCTTGACCACCACCTCACACCATACACAAAAATCAACTCAAAATGGATTAAAGAACTAGACATAAGACCTGAAACCATAAAATATATAGAAGGAAATATAGGCGAAACACTACGTGATTTGCACATCAAAGACATCTTTACAGACACATCACCCAAAGCAGTGATAGTGAAGGCAAAGATAAACAGCTGGGACTACATCAAATTAAAGAGCTTTTGCACAGCAAAAGAGACAATAACAAAACAAAGAGAAACCCCACCAACTGGGAGAACATTTTTGCACCCAACACTAATGATAAAGGACTGATCACAAAAATCTGCAAAGAGCTGATGAGACTCAACAACAACAAAGAAAATAATCCAGTCAAAAAATGGGCAGAAGAGCTTAAAAGAAACTTCTCTGAAGAGGAAGTGCAAATGGCCAACAGGCATATGAAAAAATGTTCAACATCACTTGTCATCAGGGAAATGCAAATCAAAACTACCATGAGATACCATCTTACACCAGTGAGAATGGCACATATTAAAAAAACTAGCAACAACAAATGTTGGCGAGGATGTGGAGAAAAAGGAACTCTTCTGCACTGTTGGTGGGAGTGCAAAACTGGTCCAACCACTGTGGAAAGCTGTATGGAGATTTCTGGACCTACTAAACATAGAGCTTCCATATGATCCAGCAATTCCACTCCTAGGTATTTACCCAAAGGACACAGAAACATCAATTCCAAAGAACACCTGCACCCCTATGTTTATAGCAGCACTGTTTACAATAGCTAAGCTTTGGAAACAACCCAAATGCCCAAAAATAGATGACTGGATCAAGAAGATGTGGTACATATATACCATGGAATATTACTCAGCATTCAAAAAAGATAAACACATGCAATTTGCAGCAACATGGATGGCGCTGGAAGGGATCATGCTCAGCGAAATAAGCCAAAAAGAAAAAGAAAAATACCGGATGGTCTCACTCATAGCAGGAATCTAGAAAACTTAAATAAGGGACCAGGAAAATGAATAACTATAAGAAAGTGAAAATCAAAATCAACAAAAAACTATGAACCAGAGACACTTTTAGGGGGGTGGGAGGGGAGGGATTGGGTCAGAATGGGGGGGCTGCAATTGTATGGGGAATATAACAATAAAATTTATTAAAAAAAAAAAAAATTTCCTTAATCACATAGACTGTTATGAGAATACTTTTCAGGTTTTTTAATGAAAACATAGATTCTGAAGATTGAGAAGAACTCCACTTCCTCCAACTGAGGCTTCAACATCTTCATCCAATTTTTGCTCCAACAGAAAGTGGATGGCATTGGCTTCAAATTGTTCCTCAGCTAGTTCTAGAGCCCTTGGAGATTAGGTTTGGGTTGTTTTAAAATGTGTCTTAGGGGGATGAGAAAACCAAACTTGTATGATTGTCTGAATATTGAATGACAATCTACAGGGTAGTTCTATCAACTACTGAAAGTGGAATATTCAACTGTAATTGTTAAATTGTTTATTTTGTCTTTCAATTCTATTCATTTTTGCTTCCTAAATTTTGAGACTCTGCTATTAGGTACTATTACATTTATAATTGTTCTATCTTCCTAATGCATTTACCTTTTATCATGATGAAATGCCCCTCCTTGTCTCTAGTGACATTTTTTTATCTTAAAGTCTATCTTGCCTGATAGTAGTATCAAGTAGTATAAAGTCAAGTCACCTTGACTCTTATTGCGACTGTTTGCATGGTATACCCTTTTCATCATTTGTATTTTTGTACATGAAATATGTCCCTCTTGTATATAATATCTGTTGACTCTTGCTTTTTTTTATAAAGTCTGAAAATCATTGTCTTTAGATTATAGTGTTTAGTCTATTTATATTTAATATAATTATGGAGATGGTTAGATTTAGGCCTGCCACTTTATTTTTGATAACTGTCCTGGGTTTGAATGCAGCAGGTGGAGTATGTCCAGGAGGGAGGCAGCTTTGCCGGGGTTCAATGAAATTGGGTCTTGATGTCAATGAGACCCACTCACGTTCTCCCCCAGCTCCCTCTAGTTCCCTGCCTGAGCTCACCTCCAGCTGCTCCTGCTGGGCATCTGGGGATTCCAGCCACAAAACCCATAGTAAGTGAACATTTCTCAGTGGCATTTGGACAAAAAGTTGTTGGGGGTTCCAGAAACCTGTTTCTCAAAGGAGATGCCGCTGCCCAGAGTGAATGACAAGGTGCAGGCTTCATTCACACACATTTCTGGGGGAGAGAAAATATCAGGCGTGGCCACAGGCCTGCATGCAAGGTGGGTGCTGCTCAGGCCGGTGGGGGGTGGGCTTTACTTGAGTTTCCTCATTGGTGGAATATGGGGTTTCCCCAAGTAAAATTCCTTCTAGAGGCAAAATTTAATGCTTTGATTTTTAACCAATTTCCTTAGGAATGATTTTTCCCCCTTCAATTTTATTTTAACCTGCATACTCCCTGGCCAGGAAATGGTCAAAGTATTACTTAGAAGCCCTGCCAGGGTCTCCCTGTCTGCTCAGTCCCGGCTCCACACAGAGAAGACCCACCCCTGAGTAGTTTTGGGAGCCTGCAGGGTGGGTGCCCACAGTGCTGCAGCTGCACTCACTGGGGACAAGGTGGGGAGGACGACCCCATTCTCTCCCCAAATCAGGATGGGAAAGATTGGTCACATCCCTCTCGGAAGGGCAAATTTTGTGTCCCCTACTTGGGTTTCTTCCTCTGGAAACAGGTCACCAACCCCTAGGAAAACCAGGCTCATCTCAACTGTTTCTCACACTTGAAAGTCATCTCTTGTCTTCTCCCTCACATAGGACCAAAATGGTGCTGATTTTGTAAATTCTGTCCCTTTAGATCTGAAAGCTGACGAGCTTTCCAGGTGCTTGGTTACCTGGGAGGGAATGAGAGCACAGGTGTCGGCAGAGGCCAGGGGCCATTTCCCTGAAACATGCTCTGTGAGAAGTACCACACAGCTTGGCGGGGGCTGTGGGGTGCAAAGGACAGTGGAGCCCCAGAGGCTCAGCCTGCCATGGCCGTGGCATAGCCAGAGGCACCCCCAACCCATCCTTCCTGCCGGGAGCAGTGGACGAACTATGTATAAATCATCTTGTTAGGGTTCAGCCTGCTGGTGAGCAAGCCGGGGAAGGGCCGCCGACGGCAGAGTCTGTGAGTGTGTGAGTCTGTGAGCGGCCTGCTGCCTGCAAACCACAGCCCAGGCGTGCCCTGTCTGTCGGTCACACTCACCCTCTGAAAGCAGATCAGAGGCCTGGCAGCACTGTGGCTTGCCGCCGAAGGGTCCCATGGAACTCTGCTTGGGCAGAAAACTTGGTCCGAGGCTCAGAGGCCTCTGAGGGTCACAATAAGTTCATCTTCTGTGGATATATTTTTAAAAATCCTGCCAACATTGCACAGTGATTTAAAATGCGGGCCCTGAAGTGATTGAGCGAGTTCTGGGTCTGACGTCTGGCTCTGCCCTTAAGAGGCATCTGCTCAGGTCAAAACCCCGCCACCTCCTGGAGTCCAGAGCAAAGCAAGCGGTGTCTGCAGGCAGCACCTGACACACAGGCAGCCTGCACCCGGCCCTGGGCTTTTGTTACCTGTGGCTTTCAGGATGATCCGCAGCTCGTAGGAGGACATGGTGCCGGATTTGTCAGTGTGGAATTGACGGAAAAGGTTCTGGGGGAGGAGAGCAGAGGCATGGAGGAGGAGGGCCCTGGGGAGGAGACGCCCGCCCCTGCAGTAGTGGGGGGCGGCCAGTGTGGAGGGCAGAGTCCTCACCAGGGCCCAAAGAGGGAAGGGCCGTGTTGGGCCCTGCAAAGGAGGTTGCTTCCTTCGGCTTTCCCTCGGGGTGGAAGCACCGTGGTGCCTCCAGAAGTACCACAAGCCCTCCTGGAATTTCATCATGTTTGTTCTCTTGTGCCTTTTCTGAAAATTAACCCTCTTGCCTGCAACACCATCATCTTCAAAAGCCCCTTCTGCTCTAGGTGTGTACAATCCCCTCGGGGCCAAGCACAGCAGGGTTACGTACAATCCACTTCTTTAGTTTGTCCCAGAACACTTTGAATTCATCAAACTCCAGCTTCCCGTTTGTAGGGGCAGGACAGGACACAGTGCAGGTGTTCTGATCCCATGCAGACCAGGTAAAGGAGTCAGAGTCCTCAGTGGTTTTTGCAGGTTTTTTATTGGGGTTCAGCAGGTACGTGGCAGGCAGGGGCGCTGGGGGGCCGGGAAGCTGGCAGTCCTCCCAGCCCCCAGCAAGTCTTCAGTCTATCTGGGCTCTCTGGCGTTCGTTCTGCTACTTCTCGGCTTCTCTTTCGGCTTCTGCTTCGGCTTCTGCTGGCGTCCCAGTGACACCGCCCTTAAAATCACAGTCTTAGCCCAGATGCACCCACTCCAGGTGCCCACCATCAGGCATGCATTCAGGATCACAGGGTTCCCTCATCAATCCTGATGACGGGAGGGCAGAAAAGCCTGATATTTTTCCTTACCCTACACCGTTGCCGCTGGTCTGTGTCAGGAGTGAGTAAGGAAGAAGAAGCAAGTATGTTTCAACTTGAGAATTCAGAGCCGGGCAGTGTGACGGGCATGGGTGACGTGGATTCTGCCTTCTAGGGAGATGGTTCAATTGTTAAACTGTAACAGAGTGGTCCCCAGGAAAGGGGGAGGTTCCCTGCCCCACCCAAGGAAGGGTGTTGCTGAGCAGGAAGAGGAGAAGCTGCAGAAGAGACTGAGGAAGGAAGGAAGCAGGATGGAGCCAGGAGACCTGGAGGAGGCACATGGAGCCTAGAGACACGTGAAGAAACTGTGCTTGTCCTTTGGTCGTGGACTGGGTGACACAGATGTGGGTGAGACCCGTGGGGAGGTGACCATGGCAGCTTTTATCTTGATGTTGATTTTGCTCTTTTCCTTCCGGGCTTGTTTGGTTGTTTCTGACTCTTTTCTGGGGGTCCCCACTGGAAGATGCTTTAGACTTGTGGCAGGCTTTGGGGCCTTGTTCTGGGCCAATCCCATTTGGATGGACTTTTACCCACGAGGGGACGGGTAACTTTGGGTGCTTCATTTAGAAACTAGACTCTTTGCCTTACCTGTATTGTTTCCTAGTTTTATTAAAGTTCCTTCCCATTAAAGTCTCCTATGTTTTGTGTTGATGCGGCGGATGGCAGAACCCATTTAGAATAGGCAGGTTTGCGGGGTTTGGGCTGCCCCTCTCCCTGTCCTATAACAAAACCAGGAATCTCTAAGGAGGGCACAAGGTCGGGGTCAGACAGGGAGTATACCTGAAGATGAAACCCCCATGCACCCCCCCCAACACACCCCTCTTCATTTCCTGGGATGGGACCCCAAAGTGGCGGTAAGATTCTCAAGTCCTTTTGGAAGTGAGGCGGAAAGTTAAATTGATTTCAGACCCTGAAGAGCACAAAAGAAAAACAAACTTATCTAAACTCTTCTCTTTGAGGCTGGTCTTTACAGATGCAGCAAATGCAAACAACCTGGGCTGAGCTCCAGGGCCAGCTGGGAACTGAGATGCAGAGAGAGAAGGGGTTCTCCAGGGGAGGAGGGCAGCACCAATGGAAATTCAAAATTGCCATCATCTGACGAGAAGCTTCTTCATTCATCATTATGAAGTGCCCTGGGACGAGCCAATAACCTTCAGCCAAGTCCATATTTCTTTGCCCCTCACCTACTGTTCAGCTTCTTTTCATCTTGGACCCTTGTGCCCTGAATTGCTTAGTTCCCTTTGTCCTCCAAAGGCTGGGGACATTAAAACTTCCAAATAATTGTCATTCAATGGTATAAAAAATTGGGCTTACAACCATGTGACAATCAGTTCTATTTCATATTTGGGCCCCAAATCTCTGCCCCTGCTCCCGGTAGGAAGCAGGCCCAGAAGAAAGGCCTTGCTCATCACCCCTCAAGAATGAGGAGCAGGTGGTGAGGTGAGGAGCAGGAGTAACTCCAGAAAGGTGTTGTCACCAGCCCGGTTACTAAAAGTTCCTCGTCCTTGCTCTGGTCCTGAAGACAAACCCAGCTGAGACTGAATGGAGAACTTTTGTAGGCATCACCAACCCTGAAATGACTTAAGGAAAACAGGAGTTGGGACCGAGGTGGCGAATTCCATAGCCCCTACCCTGGATGAATGATGCCAACCCCATCACCTAATGGCCATGAGTCAAGATAACAGGTAGCACATGCTCATCCACCTGCCCCACAGCCCCTGCTCCTTTTGAGTTCAGAGATGGCCTTTGAGAAAATAGCCCATCACCTCTTCAGGTCGCTGGCTCCTGATTAAACCTGAATCCTTCCATCAGCTCTGGTCTCTCGAGCTTTGGCCTTCAAGCTGCGAGTAGGTAGAGCCTGGCTCTCGTAACATCTTCAAAAACAATCCCCCACAGAGAGTCTGTGCCTCTGGGTTCTGTTCCATTTCTAGTTCCAGGGGTCTCCCAGTTCTTGGCTACTGTTTGTGAAGACTAGCCTGCAGGTTGTGGGTGCCATGTCCTAGGGAGGTCTGCAGACAAAAACATTTAACATCTATTCTTGCCCACATATTTGGAAGGATACGTCCATTAGAGAAATGATGTTTTTACAGGAAATCAGACTTAGCTTCTTAAACTGAATGTCCTTATCTGAAATCACACATGAAAGCAAAATTCAGTTGAAATCTGGTAAGACTGTTCCCAGCTGCTGAGAGTCCCACAGTGTGGTCAGATCTGTGGCTGGCTAGGGTGTTGACCTTGTCAGTGTCTTAGGATACTGAGGAGAGTAGAAGTTGACATGGCCCTTGAGGAGGAAAATTTATAAAATATGAATAATGCCGTAAAAATGGGAATATCCTTCCATCCATTTATTCTCTCTTTATTATTTTTTTTTAAATTAAACCTCCCATTTCTTTTTTTTTTTTAAAGATTTTTATTTATACAAGAACTGGGGTACCAGCCAGATGCGCGGGAGGGTAAGAGGATTCACCAGAGACAGAGCGGGGAGCAGAACAGGCAGACTATTGAAACACATTGCTGAGGGGAGCAGCAGGCAAGGCCAGAGAGGTCTGCTGTGCCATGTGGGACCCTCACCGGCCAGCTGGGATCAAACCTGCACTGCAGAGGCTGTGGACAGCTTCACAGTGCAGCGCTCAACTGCCTGCGCCACCAGGGAGGTCCTCTCTTTATGATTTCTAAGCAAAGAATTATAAATGAAGACTTTTATTATTAGGTTATTTATAATGGCAAAAATTAGAAGTTCCAGAAAGGACCAATGGAAGAGTCTCAACAATAAGTTGGGTTATGTTCCTATAATGGGTTATTACACAATCTTTATGAATTTTTAAGCATGTTTAATGATCTGGGGGAAATGTTCATAAAAATTCAAAGCAGGGTTAAAATTATTGGAGAAATTTGAGCATTCACACACTGCTAATGGAAATGTAAAAGAAATGCTTTGGAAAATGGTCAGGCAGTTCCTTAAAAGATTAGCTATAAAATTACTTCTGAATTTGAGCAATTTTTTTAACTATATTCCCAGAGACATGAAAATAAATGTCCACACAACAAACATGTCATATGAGTGAATATTATCCTGTATATTACATGCTACAATGTGGATGAACCTTGAAAATGTCCTGCTAATTGAAAGAAGCCAGATACAAAAGAACCACGTATTACAGGATTCCTTTTATATGAAAAGTCCAGAACAGGCAAATCTATAGAGACTGAGAGTATACTAGTGGTTGCCAGGGGATGGAGGAAGTGGAGAAGGGATGGCAAATGGGTGCAGGGTTTCTTTTTAGAGTGATGAAATGCTCTCAAAATTGGTTGTGGTGACTGCATAGTTCTGTAAAAACTAAGTGCTTGGGTTGTGTGCTTTGAATGGGTAAACTGTATGTATGTGAATTACACCTCAAAGCTGTGAGAGTAATAGTGTCTGTCTCTTTATCTATCTATCTATCTATCAATCTATCTAACTACCTAACTACCTCTTACCTATCCATCCATCCACACACAGAGATCAAACTGAACACTTGCTCGCAGACACACAAGTTTAACAAGAGTTATTTGTGGGTGTTGAGATTACTAGTGATTATTATCTTTGTTATTACCTTTTCTGCATTTTAAAGAATTTCCTCCTGCACACCTCCATCATTTTTGGAATCAGGAAATAAACCACAAAAGGTTTTTTTGTTTTTTTGGTTTTTTGTGGGACCCTCACCGGCAGCTGGGGAACGAACCAGCACTGCAGGCAGCCTCGCAGCCCAGCGCTCAATGGCTGCGCCACCAGGGGAGGCCCCCAAAAAAGCTATTTTTAAAGTTTGCCTGAACTCAGACCTGGATTAGGGAGCCTGGGGAGCAGAGCAGAACCACGCTGGGTGCCCATCATGTGTCCACTATTCCATGGGAGCCCTGGGGATCTCTGAGAGTGGTGAGTGGGAACACTTACTCTTTTGCAGCACAGCATCTAAAACATATTTGAGTTCTTCTGCTGACATCTCCATGTCCTGTTGAAGTGGAGACAATTGCTTTTTGTGACTCAGTATCTTCTTACAGTTTCTTTCAATGATGAGCTTAATTTGACTTGAGATATAGTCCATCCCTCAGCACCCTGTTGCTTGCCCGGGTGCCCTGCACTGTTGGCCGCTGCCTGCTCACATCTCTGGGAGCTTCCAGGCACCCAGGGAGGGAGGTAAGTCAGGCCAGCCCAAGCATGCTTCCCCCAGCCCTGAGCCCAAGCTCCCTAAATGGCTCCCGTGTCAGAGGACACTGGGATCTGAGTGTCCAAGCCTCTGTCACAGCAGAAGCACCAGGAGAGCTTCAAGAATGCCCATACTGGGGCTTATCCCAGGGGCTTATCCCAGAAGCACCGGGAGAACTTCAAGAATGCCATACTGGGGCTTATCCCACTTTGATCAGGACAACTGGGAGTATGCTTCATTGATTATTTTTAAAAGCTCTGGGGATGAATTTCAGAACCATTGACCTAGATGGTCCAGTAAATCCCACCAAATCTCAGCACCAGCTGCGCTCAGAAGCTTGAGAGAAATACAGAGTCTTAGACCTAGGCTAATATTATTTACAACTTCCAGCTGAGAGATGTCAAGGAAACACGGCTAGAGCAGTATCAAGGACATAGGAAGCCTGGGCAGGACAGGGAAGACCCCCACCCCCTGACCCCCAAACAGCCAGGATCTCCAACAAGCAAGCTGAGCAGCTGAGAGGGTGGGAATGGGCAGGGAAAGGATAGGAAGCAGGGCACAGACGCTCCAGGGTGCCTGACCCACAGCTGCCCAACCTGGGCACATCTCTGTTAAGTGGCAGAATGTTGGCATGCATTTGTGGCATCACAGTAACTGTCCTGGCAACACCACCTTCAGCAGAGCAGAGAGAGCAGGATGAAGGTGCTAATTTCTGGGCAGAGGTCAAAGGAATCCCCTCCTAAGGATTCTGTAGTCCCCACATAAAGTTTCTGGGCCTGGCTGGGCTCTGCTGGGTGCTGTGGCCCCATCAGTACAGTCTGGAGTGAGAGCTGTGAGGAGGAGGCCGTCCTCAGCCCTTCTCAAGAGAACAGGGCTGCTTTCTCCCCGCCAGCTCCTGCCTACCTCTGGGTCCGACTCTGGGACGTGTCACCTCATCCTTAGAGGGGGAGGCCAGGCCCCTCGGCCCTGCAGGCATCAAGGGCATGGGGAGCCCTACCTCACCAGCGATTTGTTCAAACATGGCCCAGAACTGCTGTTCCTCCTCTGTCTCCCAGGCAGGCGAAGTTGGCTTCTGAGGCTAAAAATGAACCAGAGGAACTTGCTTGGGAGCCACAAGAGAGAAATTGACATTGAGTTTCCCAAGAAAAAGCAGGAAAGGTGAGCCCTGGGCAAGAGGTTGTGCTGCCCGCAGGTGGAAAGGCCAGGACCTCCATGGCAGCCTCACATGCCTGTGCTGGGTGGTGCCCAGGCCTGGCCACAGCCAGTAGCATTGGGAATGAGAGTTTCCTCTCCTTGTGAGGGCTCATTAGAAGAAATGTCTGGAAGGACTCCCTGGGACTGGTGGTGCCCTCCTCACCTGACAGAGGAGAGGACTTTTGGAAACCTGACTCTTGGCAGAGGCCTGGTCCAGCCAGGGCTGCCATCACCCCTCCCTTTCTTCCAGCGCATACTCCACCACCTTGACTAGAATTCCCTGCTTCATCATTTGTCATGGTAGGTGGTAAATCTTTATAGGCAGGATCTTTCCAGTACAGAGCACCAGGCCTGGTACATGGCAAAATGTCAGTAAAGGTTTTGGATGTTTTGTTTCGGGTCTGCTCATGAGCTGCATCCCAGAGAGGGCAGCAAGGAGAAGAAAGTCCTTCCTGAAAACTGGTCACTGCTCGAGATGGGGGTGTCAGATGTTCTGGTCACACCAGCGTCTCCTGGAAGCCTTACAACCCTTGGGCAAGAATAAAAGCAGCCCCGACCTCTCTCCCAACAGACAACATCAGGGAGAACTGATGTGTTCCCCAAGCCCACGGTCAAAAATTCTACCTGCTTCTTCCATTTTTGTTTTATCCATTGCTTTTCTGAGATTGCATACTTTTTTTTTATTTTTATTTTTATTTTTTATTTTATTTATTTATTTATTTATTTATTTGTTTGTTTGTTTTGTTTATACATGCACTGGGTACAGTCAGAAGCGCGGGAGGGTGAGAGAATCCACCAGAGCCAGAGCAGGGAGCAGAGCAGGCAGAAGGACCGAAATACACCGCTGAGGGGAGCAGCGGGCGGCAGGAGAGGTCCGCGCGCCATGCGGGACCCTCCTCCGGTGGCCGGGGAGCAGCAGGGGATCGAACCGGCGCCACATAGACCGCGGGCAGCTTCGCAACCCAGCGCTCAACCGCTGCGCCACCAGGGAGGCCCCTGAGATTGCATACTTTTTAAAGAGATTCCATCCACCTAAAAATCATCCGTAACCTCTCAGGGAAAAGAGGGAGTGTCAGTTCTATTGGAAGAAAGGTCACTTGTTCTCCAAGAGGTTAGAATCAAGGTACTTCCTCGCATCGCGGTAACCATTCCTTGAAAATGGGAATTTTAAGTGATGTTATGGTCTGAAGAAAATTTCCAGGGCAGTCGCTGAATCCCACCCTCCACAGTAGCCCAAGAAGGCTCACCTCAGGAAGGGCAATGTCTACATTTCCATCCATGTCCCTGTGGCCACAAAAACCATGTTGATAATCATAGATTCACTTCCTCATTAGATGCTGCAGAGCTACAGGGTTCAGAGGTGATGGAAGTTTCTGTACCATAGAAGCCTTCCTCTTCTGTGAGTGCATTTCACAGGGTGTGCAGCCTCCAGGCACTGATCTCCCTCTCCACTCGTCACTCAGACCTTGCTCAGCATGAAAGTTGGACGAAGACCATGTGGTCATCACTCCAGGCAGAACTTGTAAATTCTGGATTGTGAAAGAGGACACTCAGCTCGTTGAGGGTTAATCATTCGTGGGAAAATTTTAAAAGCTTATAAAGCAAGTTGAGGTGGAACCAACAAGATCACTTTTGAATCTGGATTCTTCACCCTTGTTCCTTCCCCCATCGATGTGAACTCCTGAGCCCACTGGGAGGGTGTGTTTCTGTGCTCACAGGTGGAGGAATCAGGAGAACCGTGACAGCAGGTTTACTTTGCTGCCCACACATATAGGGGAACCCGCAGCACTTGGGAAGTAGTCAGATTAGAGGAGGAGCAGGCTTCAGCTGTCAAATATGAAAATATCTGGAAGAATTCAGTTTGTTTGTTTAAAGATTTATTTATTTTATTTATACAAGCACTGGGTACAGTCAGAAGCGCGGGACATGAGATAATTCACCAGAGTCAGAGCAGGAAGAGAACAACCAGACCGACGGCCAATGCTGTGGGGATCAGCTGGTGAGACAGTATAGATGTGTCGCGCCCTGTGGGGTCCTAGCCAGCTGCAGCTGCGCCACCATGGGAGGCCCTGGAAGAATTCAGTTTTACAGATTAAATCCTGAAGCATTTCCAAACACAAATTATTGAAAATTCAAAGGGAAAGAAATAATGAAATATTAAGATTTGACAAAACCCTTTCAGAGCTTTTCATTATAGTTTAGGAGTCTCCAGTGAGGATGAAGCCAAGGGAAATTGAGCTGAAGGTGGCTTTTCTGTGACTGAGCTACTTGTGTCTGTTACTGATACTTGTGGTATCACAGCAGATGGTACACTGTGTATGATATTCACTATCACAGCAGATTATATGCTGCATCTTTTATGTTCAATATCAACTTCCATTATACACTATTGTACATGCACTGAGAATGGAGTTACCTTTGACCTCACCCCCCTAATGGACAGAGAACATGAAGGGTGAAAGATGGGCTCAGCCACAGGAGTTGCCGATATGCACGGATCTCGCATAGGGTTCTTCTGTGTGAATGGACACTGGTCAGTTCATCCTTTGTGTGTTTCAGTGTCTGAGAGAAGACTGGAGAAAGACTTTGCAGCAGAGTTTTAAAAATCAAAGATTGCATTGCTTCTCTATTGCTGACGAGAAAGAACCATGGCTTCTGTAAGTCCAATCAGCAGCATTCACCAGGCATACAGGCTTAGGGAATGCCCAGTTAGAGGGAAGTTCAGGGCTTTTGTTTGATGACCCTTAGGAGTTCTTGCTGAGCAGGTCAGTGAATGAGGGCTGGGGAGCTGGCTGCCCTCCCATCCCTGTAAAGTGAAACAGCCTGAGGGAGAAGTCAACAGAGCAGAGAGGGCAGAACAGACTATCATAAGCATATCACTGATTGATCTGTGCTTGAAGCCCACTCTGCTCCTCTGGACTTGTCAGTTATGTAGGACAATAAATTCTTTTTATTTCTTTTCTTTTTTTGGAAGACTTATTTATTTATGCATACAAGAATTGGGGTACAGGCCAGAGGTGTGGGGGTGGGAGGATTCACCGAGACAAAATGGGGACCAGAACAGGCAGACTGACTGACATACATTGCTGAGGGGAGCAACAGGCGAGACAGGAGAGGTCTGCTGCACCAGGGAACTTCTGACTTGTCAGGTGGAGGCCTGCAGTGTAGGGTTGGGAAATAATGACTTTTTGGCAGTCCAGGTAGTTGGAGAACAAGATCTAAAGACGGCTAAGTCAGTAAAGAATGATGTTCAGAGATAACGGTGGACCAGAGTGGTCATCATAAGGCTTTCAGCTTTGACTCTGATTAGATGAAGAAACATGGACGTGTTAACATGAACCATAACCCCTGACCCATGAGAAAGGGCACAGATAGAAGTGGAGTCACCAGCTATGAAGTGCGTGCTGTTGTCCAGGTGACAGATGAGGGTGGGTCAGTCCAGGCTGGTAGGACGGGAGATGGTGAGCAGTGATCAGGTTTAAGACATATTTTGAAGGTTGAGCCTATAGACTGGCTGGAGGATTAAATGTGAGGAAAAGAATGAAAGGCAAGAAGATATGTGGTTTGAAGAGTTGGATGGATAAAGATGGAGAAGATTGTGTTGTAGCAAGTTGGGGAGAGAAGGATTTGAGGTTCAGGCATGTGATCCTGTGATGTGCTAGTGAGTAGATATTCACAGGGAGATACTGAGTAGATCCTTGAATATATGGATCTGGAATTCCAAGGAAAGGAACTGAAGATATAAACTTGGGAGTATTGAAACCATGGGTGATCCCCAGAAGAGTTGTGCATGTTTGACAGTGTCTTGAACCTGCTCTTCGGAAGGCAACATTGTGTGTCACTTTTCTATGAGTCCTATGACACAAACGTGTGCAGAAGAAATTGATCTTAAGCCATATTCCAAGCTGGTCAGAACCAAGAGACTACTGACACAAAACCAAGAAAGCAGGGAAAAAGAAGAGATTAGACCACACCCAGAAGCAAGGGGTCCATCCCAAGAATCTGGAAGCCTTTTCATATATAGATCCATTTCTCACTATTTGATCAGACTTAGTCAAGCCCATAAACTTTACATTCCTAACTTTTATTTCCTTTCTACCTCCATTTCTATAAAATCGTTTCTACTTTCCAGATTTGAGCCTTGGCTCCTATCTCCTCGTTGGTTGACCTCACAAAAAAAAAAAAAAAAACTTTCATCCCCCCCCAAAATGGTGCTGCAGTGATTGATTTTGAGGAGTGACAGGAAGTGAGCCTATTGCTGGTGTCAGTATCAGTGTAAAGACAGTGATATTTTAATTTATAAGAAGTATTTTATCATTAAGGTGACCAAAGTATATTTCTCATATATTTAGTGTTTATCCACAGTTCCTGATAAATGGCTCCCTGAACTTGAATTTTCTTAGTGTTGAAAGTGATGAAAAGTATCTTTTGTTATGTAAAGGAGGGGAGTTTGGAATGCATCTAATGACAGGGACTATGTTTTGCTCATGTCTAATGACGCAAAGGACACAGAAACGTTAATTCAAAAGGGCACCTTCACCCCTATGTTTAGAGCAGCACTATTTGCAATAGCTAAGCTATGGAAAAAACACAAATACCTCATAGTACATGACTGGATCAAGAAGATGTGGTACCTGTACACAATGCAATATTACTCAGTAATCAAAAAAGATAAAATCAGGCAATTTGCAGCAACATGGATGGAGCTGGAAGGGATCATGCTCAGTGAAATAAGGCAGAAAAAGGAAAATACTAGGTGGTCTCATGTATAGCAGGAATTTAGAAAACCTAAATAAGGGACCAGGAAAAACTAATTATAGTAAAGTAAAACTCAAAATAAACAAGCAACTATAAACCAGAGACACACTATGGGCAGGCGGAGGGGGGACAGGATGGGAGGGGTAGGGTCAAAATAAGGGGGGTGGGAATTATATGGGGAATATAATCAAGATGAAAATGCATACATTGTGCAAAAATGAAAAATGATGTAAAAAATATATAATATGAAAAAAAAAAGAGGGAGGTACTCAGGCAAGAAGTCACTGGTGTGAGCATATGAAAGGAAACAGAACCAGAAATCAGACATTTGTGGTCTTGCAGAGTTGGAAAGAGTCAGCTGTTTCAGGGTCCCACAGTAAGAAACAAGACTTGAAATGATTTCTAGAGATAAAGGCCCATTAACCAACTTTCCCTTAGCAAAGATTTTCAGCTCTGTGGAACGGCAAGATTAAGAATTCCTTCCCACTGATCCATATTTTGAGATGCTCCATAGGTGGCTGCCTTTAAGGTCCCTGTCACCAAGTTGGACCTGGAGGTAATGACCCCTGGAGCAGCTTGCTGCCTGCATGCAAATTCACTGGGCTGCAGATTCAAATGCAAACTTGGATGGTGGATGGTTCAGTGGTGGGAAGCTGGGTGAGAGCTGAGAGGATGAACTTTCTGTTTCCTGGATCACATGGATTCCCTTGACATTCTACACAAGTCTGGAGATGGGGAGAGTCCCCAACACGTGACATATTAAATCCTTTGCCAACCTGGGTGGATAGAAGGGTTTTGAGACAGGAGTATGTGATTTACTGAAATGTACGATAAAATGATAAGAAATGGGGTGTTCTTTACACCCAACGGCCAAGGAGGCTTGACATACTTGGTTGCAGTTAGTACAGAAATAAAGAGGTAAGAACTGTACCAGAATTCTCCATCGTCCGGAGAAGGGTGACACAGGCGCTTTTGCTCAGCGAGGTCCACAGAATGCCACTCAGGAGAACTAGGAAGAAACCAAATCAGCATGTGGGTCATGAGCAGCAGCATGTGGGCCTTGCGGTGGGGGAGCACCCTTTCCAAGAAACCAGGGTGTGTGGTTGTGAAAGGAATAGAACTTGGTCAGTGACTATACCATGGACCCAGAAATGTGCCAGACTTTGAGATTGGTCAGAAAGTACATTTCCAAGCGCAGCCGATGGAAGTAGGTGCCTCTCATGACACCACCACAGGCAGGGAAACTCCCTTGACCTCTGCTCTTTGTCAGCTGACACTTGGAAAAGTCATAATCATAATGTGTTTGACAAGCTTGTTTGACATTCATCTACCAAGTACTTTCTTTCTGCAACCTCCCAGGGAAGCTGGATTGTGTTCTGCCAGGGGGCCTTGCCTGTCCTCAGGTGAGCAGCACCTACTGCCCTCCAAATTGGGAATGACACCTCTAAGTCATTGGCCATTTAGGCTCTAGGGTTAGAGGACTCTTTATTGATATAGTTAAGTATACACTTGCTAAGAGAGGCCTT